TATTAAGAGAAAACCTCAAAACAAGCCCCAGGAGGGTGAGAGGCTGTGATTACATGGCAAGGCAGGCCATCTCCTTCTCTTTGTCTTAATCTTCTTCCTTCATTGCTGTGTCATTTCCATGGAAACATTTTTGGCCTCAAATTCTATCACTTGAAAGGAGCCTGTGTGGTGAACTGAGCATGTCAGGAACAGGGAAATGAAAAGGCAGCGTTGCAGAGAACATAAGCAGCGTCCCCATTTCTTTAATTGTGATTTGCATGAAAAATGAGCTTGTTGGTAAACACATTCCATCTGCAAAGGGTGCCTCTAGGGCCTGGGGTGGCCTGGACCAGTATAAAAGGCAGTCCAACTGTAGGCTTCCTCATCCACTTCTCTTGCCTTCTCCTCCACGGTGAACAAGGTGAGTTACAATTGCCTTTGCCTAACTCTTCTCTTTCTCTTTTTCTCCTCTTTGTCTTCTGGACTTGATAGAGTCTTTTTTTTTAAAGTACATTCTGCTGAGAGCCTTACTCCTTCATACTGCTCCCATAATCTCTGTTCTTCTTACTCTCCGTGCAGCTTAGATGGTAGAATGTGTAGGACTTTATCTGCAGGGAAACCTTGGGGATCAGGGATCTTTAGTCTCCCTTCCTCCCAGTGCAGCTTGTCCTTGTTCACCAGCCTCTGCCTTTTCTCTCACCAAGTAGGTTGTCAGGCTGCACCTCAAACACTGCCTGTGCTTTCCCTGCCCTCTCTCCCAGGTGCACCTCCATCCCACAGCCATGTCCTGCTACGATCTGTGCCGTCCCTGTGGCCCAACCCCACTGGCCAACAGCTGCAACGAGCCCTGTGTCAGGCAGTGCCAGGACTCCCGGGTGGTGATCCAGCCCTCTCCCGTGGTGGTGACCCTGCCCGGACCCATCCTCAGCTCCTTCCCCCAGAACACCGCTGTGGGATCCACCACCTCTGCTGCTGTTGGCAGCATCCTGAATGAGGAGGGAGTGCCCATCAACTCTGGGGGCTTCAACCTCTCTGGCCTTGGTGGCCGCTACTACGGCAGAAGGTGCCTGCCCTGCTAAAGCCGGGCTGGACGTCCAGTGAGTGCATCGACCAGGAAGCCCAAAGCCAGGTGCCGGACTGAGGATGGAGCTGGTGGCCAGGGTTTCCAGATGGGTTGTGCCCCTTTGTTCCCTCCTGCAAAGGAGGGAGGGAAGCGAGGTGCCAGCCTGTGTTGTCTGGAAACATGGCCAGCTGACGTCTTCTACTACTCCTGCTTTCTTCTCCACATCATGAGTCCCTGTTGTCTCCTGCTGTCCTGTGCCACGGGTTCATCCTGAAGCAAGTCGAGAGCCATCCAGCTCATCTTCCACTCTTCAAGTGTCTGTGAGGAAGCCGTGTTCCCCACTGCTGTGAAGGGGTGCCTGACTGCCAGCTGCCCTTGTAGCAGCCTGGACCAGGTCCCTTCCACCATGTGCTGCTTTATTTCACTCTTTATACTCATTAAAGTCAATGTTGCATTGTAACCTGCTGTCTCCTCGTCCTCCTTCCCACCTCATACACACAGCCAAGCTGTCCAGCAGAAATGTGATTCTGTGGAGGGAAAAAGGGTGGGTGGCCAAGGTTGAATGGTAGAACTCTGTTGTGCTCAGAGGAGCTGACAACCCTCAGGGGCCACGGTTGTTAGAAAAGTCATGGGATCTTGGTGGGTTGTATGGAGTTTTCTGAGTATGCAAAGGGTGGCCAGGGACTTCCCCCAAAGCACATCTGAGT